AAAAAAAAAAAAAAAAAAAGCATTGAATTTAAAAAAGAAAAAAGTAGGAGATGGTTTCGAATATCTCCCAGATACCAGGTAATGAAGCAAGACTGATTTCGCCAAGAACAAACGTGAGGCTGCCAAGGAACTTTGCATACTCCAAAGACATTTCCCCTCCTAGTTATTTATGCTGCTGACCTCTGAAGGTGCAAAAGGAAAGTTCTGTATTTCTGCCTAACTTTGTAAATCCTCTGTAATCCAAATTGAAAAGTCAAATCCCGCTTGCCACCGCGGAAAGGTCTGTTTTAAATTCCCAGCCAGTTCATCATTTTAAAGAATGTTGAACCCAGTAGATTGTTCACTCATATGCCCAATTAAACTTTTAAATACATCCTTAGAGGGTAGGAGGTCATTTTATTCCTCCTTTTGTCTCCTTGGGTGTCTATCACAGTGTTTTTGTACTTTAGTAGCCCCCCTCAAAAAGAAAAAAAGAGGAAACAATTTTGTACAATTTTGGTCAACAGCAAGAGTTTCCTTGGCCAACGTCAAAGACGTACAGAGCTTCTCCTGTCTGCCTCTCCCATCTCTCTGGATCTGTTTTTGCCTCAATAAATATTTGTGGAACAAACAGGGAAATGTTTGTTCTTTTTAGCTCTCCTTTTCCTCCGTCCTCTGTGCTTTCATATGTACATATATGTCCATCTTGTTCTTTCGGTCCTCTGTCTCTCCCTCTCTCTGTCTCCATGTGTCTCTACCTCTTTTTTCTTGTAATAACTCGTTCTGATTCCTTATTCTTTGGGTACTTGTGTGTGTTGCACGTCTGCCTTTTTCATTCATGTTGGCTTCATCTTCCACTGCCCATTTTCCAAACCCAAATGGTAGTAATATAAAATCAAGATGTGTTTCTAAATGGCTTTTTTTTTTTAAAATAATTTTAAATTTTTTTTTTTCAACCTTTATTTATTTTTGGGACAGAGAGAGACAGAGCATGAACGGGGGAGGGGCAGAGAGAGAGGGAGACACAGAATCGGAAACAGGCTCCAGGCTCTGAGCCATCAGCCCAGAGCCCGACGCGGGGCTCGAACTCACAGACCGCGAGATCGTGACCTGGCTGAAGTCGGACGCTTAACCGACTGCGCCACCCAGGCGCCCCTCTAAATGGCTTTTAAGATAGAAGTAACTTACGATAGAAATAACCAGAATCTATTCATTTGCTGTGATTTCAGCTTGTATTTAATTGACTAATTTTGCTTTTTCATTTTTAGTAGATTTGTGTTCTCCGTTCTTCATGTTTCAAGTGAATGAGCAAAATATGGACTTATTTCTCACTAGACCAAAAAAAGAAAACCACTTAAATTAATTTTCCTTTTACTTAAATTGCTCTCAATGGCTTTTTTTTTTCCATGAATGATTGGCCTGAGTTAGACAAATGCGTCTCTGCTCTCAGTATATAGGGTTTTTATTTTCTTTTCATTAAGCCTGGTTTTTTTTTTTTAACTTGTTTTTGCTTTACCTGTTATAACGGTGAAATTCAAACCTGTGTCAGGAATCATTTGGTACTAGGAATAATCAGCCCCAGTATTCCAGTTTCGGTCAGCTCCAGGGAACACAGCAGCTTACCCCTGGGAGCCGGATTTGAGAAGAACCTCTCCATTAATCACCCTCATCTACTTGGAAAACTGAATTTTTCCAGTATGGGCTTCTGCCATTATTTCACCAGGTTTCTGTGAAGGCTAAAAATGACATTATTTCACCAGGTTTCTGTGAAAAGTGTTCTGTCATTGGCCACCAAATCTGGATGTTTTGAGCAGATGTATGTGAAGTGTAGAAAAAGAAAAGGAAGGAAAGACAAGAGGCCGGGCACCTTCCAAATTACCATTAACAGCATGAGTCTGTCAGAAATCTATCCGGTGAAGACTTCAGAATCTTCACTCTGTGGGATAGTTAATTAAAAGAACTTGTTTAGCAAAGGGGGTGGAGCGAGACAAGAAAATCAAACATTTAGTTTCAGTCAACAGCTATCACTGGCGAGGCTGTGTAATTCTCGAAGAGGC